TTCGAAATGACCCAGAAATTTCTATGTTCTAGTAACGTGATTTGAATAATTTTTTCAGATAAAATATTAGATATATGGGACATCATTTTACCGTTTACAGATTTGAGCTAGCTCATTCCGTTTGGAATATATTGTAAATTCAGACTGGAGGAAAGATATCGGCCGCCCATATACCAAAGCACATGGTAATAATTTAAAATTAAAATTATTTGTTTATCAATTTTCAAGCACTTTTTAGTTTAACAAAGTTATACATTAAAATTTAATTCATCATGGTGTTTAAAAATCAACAAAAATTTACCGTGATCAAAATCACATTGAGTGTACTATTTACACTAGCCATATTTATGTATGTGTTTTTAGTGGTCTCATGGATAATGGCAACTCAGGGCAAATTTAATCAAGCTGAAGACTGGGCAGATTATACTCACAACGAAGCGCTTGGTAAATATATAAATAAATTGATTTGTTAATATTAAATTTTAATATGTTAAAAACAACAATTTGCAAACTTATATTTCTTAACTATGCTTATAAATCAGGTATCTTAGCTATATCTGCGCTTGGTACAATAATAGCACCCATCGGTCTACTTGGCATAATATCGGTGCGTAACGTCCTAGTGATTATCATGCTGATTTTTATTACCATAAACATTGCTTTTAACCTAATAATTGCAGCATTCAAGGAGGCAATAATCCGGACATTAGTGGCCGCACTCATCATACTATACATTAAACTTATTGGCGATAAGCAAAGGGAGGCTAACACTCAGTATCCCAATGCATCACAAATTAATTAATTTTGTAGATTCATGTTATTTTGATCAATAAAGTTTTTACTTAATAAAGTTTTTAATATAATGACATTGCGTGATATAAATTAGCAATTAATTAAAATTGGGATTAATTATGATAATTATTTGACTACAGATTGGTATATAATTGGCTAAATCTGCAATATATAAATGCATTAATAGATTTTCGCTTATTAATAATGAAAGGATATTAATGCTTTTTTAAACTGCATAATTCATGGAAATATATTATGTTCAATTATGTTCAACAATTGTTTTATATCATTAATGTTAATCAGATATAAAATCCGATTTTAATAATGTCTATAAACAGTATTTTTTATACGAATACCGGGGAAACGAGTTTTCAATGACATTCAGACAAAACATATAATTATTTACTAATTTGCAAAGAAAGTGATGCTTTATATGACGTAAAATAACCACTATTTCACACTATTGCGAATACTATTGCATTAAATCTATGTAAACTAACAAAGCCTTTATAATCAAGTGCATCACAACTTAGTTGTCATACAGTATAAAGCATTTGGTGTTTACTTGATATAAAAATACTTTGTCAATTTTCAATCATTTTTGATATATTTATAACAAAGTTGTACATTTAAAATTTAATTCACACATATGTCCAACATTCATCATGGTAGTTAAAAACCAAAAAACATTTACCGCGGTTAAAATCATTCTGGGAGTGGTGTATACACTGGCCATCATTGGGTACCTTCTGTTGCTAATCTCATGGATACTGGCGAGTCAGGGCAAATTTGAACAAGCTGAAGTATGGGCAGACTTTACACACAACGAATCACTTGGTAAATATACAAATAAATTACTATGTTTATATTTAATTTACATACAATATACATGTGATTTTAAATGTGAATGTAACTGTAACTATACTAACTCACCTTAAATACTTTACTTATATCTCTGAATTATACTTACAAATAAGGTATCGTGATACTATCTGCGCTTGGTATTATAATAACCATAATCGGCCTGTTTGGTATAATAAAGGAGCGTAAAGGCTTAGTAATAATATTGGTGATTTTTGGTATCGTGGGCATTATTTTCGATCTGATCATGGCAGAATTTGTCACCGCCATAATTGGGGCTATTGTGGTCGCTCTCACCATATTTTACATTAAACTTATTGGCGATAAGCAAAGTGAGGCTCACTCTCAGTATCCCAATGCATCATAAGTTAATTGTTTTTACATCTTGTTTATATTTTTTAATTGTCAATTTTACACTTTATATATTAATGTTTTTATTAAGATAACAATATAAAATTACATTGATGTTTTTATTTTAATCCAATATTGTAAATAGTAGATTTTAATTTTGTTAATAATTTTTATTATTAAACAAATTTAAATATGTTCTTAAGTTTTTATTTTTATACAATATCCCTTAAAATTTACTTATAGAGTTTTATTTTTATTTGTTTAATTTTAATGACATTATAATTAATTTAATATAATTTATATACTTTATATAAATTATGCAAAATATATCTTTACAGGAAACAACGTTTAATTTATTATAATTATTTATAACATGAATTTTATATTACAATGTAATCTATAGTATTTGTCTATTATCTAACAATAAAATTACAATGATGAAATAAATTTTAATATTTTTATATATTTTATTTTAATAATGTCTATAAACACTATTTTATATACAAATACCGGGAAAACGGGTTTTCAATAACATTTCAGACAAAACATATAATTATTTAATAATTTGCAAAGAAAGTGATACTTAACATAAAACAACTACTTTTATACTATTGCATTAAATCTATGTAAACCAACAAAACCTTTATAACCAAGTGCATCACAACCAAGTTTTCAGTGACTTTGTGATATAAAAAAAATTATACATTTATTATTAATTCATATATCCAATATTCATCATGGTATTTAAAAATCAAGCAACATTTACCGTGGTGGGAATTACTCTGGGAGTGGTGTACACAATGGCCATCATTGGCTACATGTTGGTAATAATCTCATCGATACTGGCGACTCAGGGCAAATTTGAACAAGCTAAAGTATGGGCAGATTCTATACACAAAGAAACACTTGGTAAATATAAAAATTGATTATTGTATTGACATTTCATTTACCTATAATTTTAAATATGCTGCTTAACTTATATAATGTAGTACTAATGTCATTAAATTTTTTAAGGTATCGTGATACACAGGTATTTACAAGGTATCGTGATATTATCTGCGCTTGGTATAATAATAACCATAATCGGCCTGTTTGGTATAATAAAGGAGCGTAAAGGCTTAGTGATAATATTGGTGATTTTTGGCATCGTGGGCATTATCTTTGATCTAATCATAGCAGAATTTGTCACAGCTATAATCGGGGCTATTGTTGTCGCCCTCACCATCTTTTACATTAAACTTATTGGCGATAAGCAAAGTGATCCTGGTTCTCAGTATCCCAATGCATCATAAATAAATTATCTTGTTAATATTTTTTAATTGCCAGTTTTACATTTTACATTTCACTTTACATTAATCTTTTTACAGTATGTAATGATATAAAATTACATTGTTTACGCTACAAAATATGATTTTTATATTTTAATCCAATATTGTAAATAGTCGTTTTAATTTTGTTTATAATTTTTATTATTAAATAAATATGTTTTTAATTTTTTATGTTTATAAATTTTTTTAAAAATTTTACTTATAGAGTTTTTATTTTTATATAACCTATTTGTTTAATTTTAATAACATTATAATTAATTTAATATAACTTTATATGGATTATGCAAAACATATTTTTATAAAAAACAATGTTTAATATTATTATAGTTATTTATTGCAATATAACATCTAACAATACAATTAGAATGATGAAATAAATTGTAATATCTATTTAATATCAATAAAATCTAGACAAATTTCTATTACATACATGTAATATTTATGTTTGATCATCTGTATAATAAAATAACCGTGATAACAAATTTCATATTAAAAATAGTTAGTTATCAATAAACAATTATTTCTAGTAAACTATTGAGAAAAACTGGTTTTCAATAAATTCTCAGACAATTGAACAAAAAAAGAAATTGGAAAAATGTCATAAAATTACCACATTATTATTATTGCACTAAATCTATGTAAGCCAGCCTGAACAAACAATGTATTTATGACCAAGTGCATCAAAACCCAAGCTGAGATCACAAAGCATTTGGAGGCTATTTTATATAAAATAGTCAGTATTATTATTTTATTATTAGTTTGTTACATAACAAAGTAAAGTAAAGTATAAGCAACACAAACACAAACATGGGAACATTTAAAAATCAAAAACTATTGACCGTGGTGAAAATCACGCTGGAAGTGCTGTACACACTGGCCATCTTTGGCTACTTGTGGTTAGAGATCTCATGGATACTGGCGAGTCAGGGCAAATTTAACCAAGCTGAAGAATGGAAAGAGTACACTCGCAACGAGCAACTTGGTAATTAGAAAACTAAACTATATATAATTAATTTAACAAAATTACTTAATTATATTTACAATAGCCACCGTGATTATATCGGGGATTGGTATAATTGCAACCATCATCGGTCTGATNGTCAGGGCAAATTTGACCAAGCTGAAGAATGGAAAGAGTATACTCACAGCGAGCAACTTGGTAATTAGAAAACTAAACTATATATAATTAATTTAACAAAATTACTTAATTATATTTACAATAGCCACCGTGATTATATCGGGGATTGGTATAATTGCAACCATCATCGGTCTGATTGGCATAATAAAGGAGCACAAAGTGCTGGTGTTTTTATTGTTGGTTTATATTAGCATTAGCTTTATTTTTGACATGATAATAGCAGAATGGATCGAGGCCATAATCGAGGTTGTTTTGGTCGCACTGACAATTCTGTATATCGATGCTTACCAAAAACGTGGAAATTTGTTCAAGATAACTTTTTTATAAGAAATAATCATTTGAATCAAAAGAAATTTTATAGGATGAATGAGTATTTATCTATGTTCAATTTAATATAATTATATAATTTTTATCTCTATTGGTTGAGAAGTGGTGGTCATCTTAAGACAGCGATGTCTAAATTTGCTTTGGCACATGTTTTAGATATATATAACCATTAATTTACAAAATATACACTAAAATTATGCCGAATTGGGAAATTAATAGTAAATAAAATCTTTATTTAGCTTTAGTTTGAAAAAATAATAATAGTTTATTCACTTAAATACACCTAAACTATAATTTTTTAAAAATAAATTTAATGATAAAAATATTTACGCAAAAATATATATTTCAATGTAAAACTCCATTGAACTTTACATTGATTTATTAAAGTGCCAAAGCAAATTTAGACATCACTGTCTTAAGATGTCAACCACTTCTCAACCAATAGAGATAAAAATTATATAATTATATTAAATTGAACATAGATAAATACTCATTCATCCTATAAAATTTCTTTTGATTCAAATGATTATTTCTTAAAAAAAAGTTACCTTGAACAAATTTCCACGTTTTTGGAAAGCATCGTTATAAAGCTAATTGTTGATAAGCAGAGAGGGGTTATCGTCGAGTATCCCAACCCTTCATAAATAATTTATTTTAAATTATATTATTTGTCAATTATATTTTTGTACTTTGTAATTTATCAATTTTTAAATTATTATATTAACTTGCATTATGAACTTTACAAATTATGATGGTTATAATTTAATATTTTTAATGCAATATAAATAATTTAACTAAACTTGCTAATTAATTGTTTTAACAACAATTTTTGCCCTTGTTTGTTTTTCTATAAAATACTTAATTAAAGTCAATTTGTTGTTATTATTTATCATTTATTTGAATTAATTAATTCTGTATAAACTAACCTGTACAAACAATAAATTTATATATTGCAATTAAAAATAGGGTGTTTATTTCAAGTACTTTACTAGTAGTCATTTTAAATAACATGGTATAACAAAGTTATACGTTTAAAAATCATCTATACAATCTATTAGTATTTACCATGGCATTTAAACAGAGCAAATTCAACCGGATTAAAATTACGATGGAAGTGGTGTTTATCCTAATCATCCTTGTAAACATACTAGTGTTAACCTCATTAATACTGGCCACCTGGGGCAAACATGAACAAGATAAATTGTGGCCAGAGGTTTCACACAACGAAGCACTAGGTAATTATAATCCTAAAACTACCAATAGATTAACTTGATGCTTTTTAATACTACTTAATTTATAAACGCAAACAGCGATCGTTATTATAACTGCAATTATTTTAATATTAAACATCGCGGGTCTGATTGGCATAATAACCGAGCGCAAGTGCATGGTGATTATCTTGGTGATTTTGGTCACCTTGTCCATTTTTTACGAGTTAATGGAGGCCGTGTATTTCGGGGCCCTAATGGGTGCCTGTTTAGCCGCACTCACCATCCAATACATTATGCTTATCAACGATAAGCGCCGGGACTTTGACGCTCGGTATCCCAAACCCGAATTAAATTAGTTATTTTTATAAAATATTTTTAATTTTTACTTTGTTTTTAAAAATATTTTTTTAAACATATTTTGTTTTTATTATATAATAGTTTATATTGTGTTTGATTTAACTAGAATTTTAATCTAATTATTGTGATCAACGTAGTTTTTAATTTGCCGTTTAGGTTAGTTTCTTTGTATAATATATTGTTACGGTTAACAAAATATATTTATATATAACAGTAAAATGTAAAGTAAAATTATTAAAACATTTTTAGTTTTAAAATTATAATTTAGAGAGAGAGAGAGAGAGAGAGAGAGAGAGAGAATCTGTATATAACTAAAATAAATGTGATATTCAATGTCTGGCCAAATGTTTTCAATGAATTTTAACAGTAAAGTCAAAGTACGTGAAACTGTCG